GTCTTTTTAACAGGCCCCACCACTTTCCCCGGTAATGGGGGCTGCCCTAGCTCCCCCCTTGCCATGGCTAAGGGCAATATGGATGGAGTTGCTCTAAGGGCTGTGAATTGACGATCGCATGACGGTATTGATGAATATAGCAAAACAATTCAAATTCGTGTTCTGTCCCGTTGAGCACAAAGTTTCACTAATGTTCTATAGCAGAAACTGGTGAGATGCGGTAAAAACAATTCAAAATCTGGTAATGTACCACTTTTAGTATAGCAACCACAAAAACTTGTAAAGGTGAGGGGGAGACAGAGCCGGTCCATTGATTTTGGAGATCCTGTGCAAATATAGATGTCGAGGCCTTATATATGTAGGAAAAAAAAATTCCACATAGAAACAAAAATTTCTGACACGGGAAGAACACATTCGGAAAGAGTTTCCCATAAAAATTTCTTTAGTCACCCTTCCAAATCACATAGCTGATAAATTGATTTTCCAATTTCAATGCTTGGTGGATTCTCATGTGAATAAGGGAGAGAGAAAAGAACTGTGATTTTGGGGAAAGGGCTAAAGCTTGGGTTTTTACAATCCAAAATTTGATGGAAGAGGGTGGTACACTAGTACTGAAGAGAAATGGCTTTATTTTGATGGAGGAGAGTGAGAAAGACTTACTGAAATAGAAAAGAATATTAGAATGGTTTTGCAGCTTAAGAGTTGGGAAGAGAAAAACACAGGTTTCAAACCATAATAAATAAATAAAAAGAAGAGTTGCAGTGTAAGAGTTGGGAAGAGGAAAATGAATTAAATTAGGGCCTCTATTAAAATTTGTTGATAATTAATATTCAATTCAATTTTGGTTTTGGTTTTGGTGCCTTGCATGTGGTGTTGTGGGGTAATATTTAATATTTTATTTTTATTTTCATGTTTTAGTTAATTTACTTGGTTGACTTGGAAAAATTTGGAAGTCCCTAAATTTTGGGGGCCTTGTGCGATCGCGCACCCCATGGGTCGCCTCTGGGGGGAGAGGCAGTAAAAACAATTCAAAATTTGGTGGAGTACTACTTTTAGCATATAGTACCACTTTGAGCACAGCATGCATTACTGTCGGTAGTCACCGGAGAAAGCAAGAAGAAAAAATGGTCAAGTGATTTGGGTATGTGAAACCATTGATAATTTTGCACAAGAGTTGAGTATGCGGTGACAACAATGAGAGCTTTGCAGCAAGATAAGGGTAGGCATGCAAATTAAACCAATCAGTTGAAGATAATAGTTGGGTGGGGTGGGTTCTTTCGTTGGCATGGGAAGAAATTAGGGCGAAGAAGATCGAAGAGAATAGAGGAAGAGCCTTTCGTACACAATACACGGTAACTGTTACCTTCAACTTATGGGTCAGACAGACCATTACCTTAAATGAAAGTGGGTTTTCAGACAATGAATTGGAACGTGAAATAAAATTATAAGTAGTAATACGTACTTAGGACATTCCCTAATGAAGTGGAGGATAATTTGTCATATGCATGTGTTTTCTGTTTTAGATTTATTAACAGAAATGAAAAAGTATATTTAAAAAAAGGGAAAATGGGTGAAGGGGTGAGGATGTTGAGAGTATTGTCCAACATTGAACTGTTAAAGACCTAGCATGAGATTATATGAAATTAAGCTGTTTTCCCTATTTGTAATTAATTTTGGGATGGAACCTCAACTTCCTTCATAGTATTAGAGCATATATTCACGTGTTGGACCCAACAACCACACATACTCTCATGTCTTAGGCTTGAAAGTTCTTCACACGTGTGGGGCAACTTCCTTCATAGGGTAACTACCCAACTTTAGAATGTGGGTTTTGTTTAGTGTTTTCATTTATTTAATACTAAGTTTCATACCCTTTTACCCTCATAATATTAAATCGTGGTGCCAAAGTTTAGAAGGTAGGTACCAAGGTGGTTCAAACCTAGACTATTGGTCTACATGCCAATGTAATTTCCCACTGGGACCTTTTAAAATTTTAATCAATTAAATTTATTAGTTAGGTTTTTCAATGTTTCACTATTTGGCGTATATCTTGTGGTCTTGTTGTTGCTGGTGAACTCCTCTATATTTGGATTAATCTCTTGTGGTTATTGCGCTTCCATATTTATATTAACCTTATATAATTATTTGCATTTATATTGGTCCTTGTGACTCATGACCTTTCGGCCTGAATTATGAATTCAAAATTATCAAAGAAATCACTTTATACTTTTGGCCAGTACAGAGAGACTGCCCATAAACAAATACTAAATAATTCAAAGGAAAAAGGCATTATTAGATCAAATAGCATTAATGTGATTTTGACCCAAAATGGCATAATCATCTCATCTACACCACCAATCCCCATCCCCATATGCTGATCTTGTGGGTTCTTCATGCCCATGAACCATGGATGCCTCTGCATCGTCTCTATACTGTTAGTTTTGAAAGCCTGCCTCTCCATTCAAGCTTTGGTCAATCAGCCAACCCAAATCATTCAAAGAAACCATGTTCCAATTGTGGAGGGACTTACCAGTCAAACTCTAGAATAACACCATTGTCATCTCATTCTCCCTTTTCTCATTCCTTTGTTTCTTCAGTTGTTCTCCTCCATGTTCACCATCTTTTTGCTCTGTTCCATCTCCGACATGGTCTTAAATTTTTTTAAGAATGCCTTGCACTTGGAGAGAGGATGGCCAAATCTCATGTTGAGTATCAGATAGGGTATAAATTAGGGCACACACTGGAACATCATAGAGGTTGTTGAGTTCACACACTTTCTTCATCAGATCCTAGTTCATTTTCTTGAATGTTGTTTCTCTGGTCGAGTAATTACTGATGTAGGTTAGTTTCACCTTCTTTCTAGACATGGCTCTCAGGGAAAATAAAATGAACAATACAAACTGGTAAGAAAATGATGCATTTGCGAGTTTTCTTAAAAGGATAGCCTACGCTATATATAGAGTAGTAATAGGGCAACCTAATGAATTCTTGGATATTACATTTTGAATGAGAATTAAATGTGGGGATATGTTTTTCATTTTTCTTTTTTGATACAAGCAAATATTACAGGAGGGGGGGAATGAACATTCCATTTCAAATGTAGGAGATTTGGTATTTTATCATAATGGGAATGGGGGGAAAAGCTAAACGGGAATGGGGATGAGAATGGTATACACACCTCCGATTCGACCTATTACATCTCTTTTCTAAAAACAAATGAACTTACAAATGTACAGATGCATCTGCTATTGAATTGATTAATTTTGGGCATGTTTGGATAAGGGATGGTTTGGGGTGTGGATTTGGAATTCAGTCCCTAAATCCAAATTCAGTTGCTTGGGTCTGCATATTGGTTTTAGATTCGGGCCAAATAT